AGATAGATAGATAGATAGATAGATAGATAGATAGATAGATAGATAGATAGATAGAATGGCCATCGCCTTCCATAATATTGTTTTTTTAATACCCTCAAGAAAAACGATACAAACTGAAGATACTTACTTCCGAATCCAAACAAGTTTCCCCAAGTCTACCTCCTTCTGTATCTTTCCGTCGTTTTCAAACAAACGTTAAAGTTTTCCATGTGTATAAAAGAACTCCTTGGCGAGAAACAGAATCTATGACCACAGCATTATAGAAACAGCCCGAAAGCGATTCCCACAGTCCACACTAGTGTTGTAAATCGGATAAAGGGTTGTATTGATACGGTACCTGTCAGGCAAGTGTAAGGTGTAGCTGAATAGTTTCCGTGTGAATCACTAGTTGCCGTGGACAGCCTTGACGTTTATCAAACTACAGCTGACAAGTTTGTGGCTCTTCGACATACACCGTATATAGAAATAGGCCTGGGTATACTGCTCGTGGTAAGCGAAGCCTTATTGCCATTTTTTGGAACCCGCAGGTTGTGAATATTACGGCGATAAAAGGAAAGAACGTTAAGGGGGATTAGCCGCAGGTAAAACGAGTGGGCTTGCTCGCTTGGTCGAGTTCTGTGAATTCGTGTTTTTGTTGTGTGTTCAGTTTAAAAGACACTAGCAAATCAATGTGTGTTATTATTATAGATAGTATGACCTGCAGAACTAATAATACGCCTCTTTGGAATAGGGTTGAAAGAGAAAAGAACAGCTGAAGCAAGGTATACTGAACGAGCTGAATGAATTAACGAAATAATTCATAATTGTCATCCTGTCTGACATGGTATGGTATAGGGTGGTATGGGTTTGACACCTCTTTGAACACTGTTAAGGGTTCGTTTTCAGGAGGGTGGATGAATGGATGGGTGGACTGGTGTGTTAGCAAACTGATGAATAGGTGGATGAATATTGAGTGAACGGTTGGGTCAGTGGATGGTTGCGTGAGTGGGTGAGTGAGTAAGAGATTGATTGAATAAATGAGTGCAAAGAGCAAAATGTCCAGAAGAGTGAGCAAGTGTCTAAATGAATAAGTAAAATTGGGAATTGAGTGTGTGTGTGTGTGTGTGTGTGTGTGTGTGTGTGTGTGTGTGTGTGTGTGTGTGTGTGTGTGTGTGTGTGTGTGTGTGTG